TTTTGTGGATTTTAGCCCACAAAGCCCCAAAAAAGCCCTTTCCAAACACTCCCAATATTGAATCTGTGGTAGATCTGTACGGGGAAAAGATATTCGTTGCTGTCCGTACTCCTTTCATCCAAGCTCCGAATCTATCCGATCGACCTAAGAACACAACGGCGGTGAGCTACCCGATGGTGTGTTGCCGGAAAACCCCTCCGACAGTCAAGTTAGCACACACTCAGAGAGAGAGAGAGAGAGAAAATCAATCGATGTCAAATTGTATCTCACAAAATGATGTTCCATGCCAGGTATGGGGTCGCAGTCATGCTTATATGCTTTCTGCGTTCACCTTTGCACCCACTCGTCTATTGACACGTGGAGCTGCTCTTCCATTTGTCAGCGTAAATCCAGCTATACACCACCTAATCAAATCACCAAACAACATTAGCGGGAATGTGGCAGCCCGGCGGCATCACCTCGGCTTCCAATGACCGTGCTACATAACGAGCCCGACAGCGCCACTCGCTGAGCTCCATTACAACCAAGTTCAATAGCTTCCCGGTACGACTGAGCTCCAAGCAGATTAAGCCGGTGTTCGGAAGACCCTTCCCGCCGAGCTAGACGCGCGAACCGCGTAACCCGAGTTGGCCGACAATTACCTCGGCCAAGTTAGCTCAGCCCCAACATGGGAACTGGGCCTCGACCGAACAAACTAACTCTGGAGAAGCCCATATAGCTCGGCCTAAACCTGCTCGGACCTATCTGCCCGGCTTCTACCATGGCCCAAAGCCGGGATATAAATCTCCTTCTCAATCTAAGACTGGCCAAAAAATGCAAAATCTCCAGCACTGACCTCTCTCTCTCTCTCTCTCTCTCTCTCTCTCTCTTTATATGGTTTAAGGTTTCTATAATTTTAATCTCCGTGCAGTAGAGTTTAGATGATGATTTGTGATGATGATGTTGATGACCTAGATCTGTGGTAAATTTGATGATGATTTATGATGTTGATGATATTGTTGATGATCTCAAATTGATCTATGTATTTATTTTTTTTTATATCTGAGTTAAGCTTAAAAGTTTTTTGATTTGTGATGATGATGATGATGATGATAATGATTTTTATTTTTTGATTTTTGTGATCTGAGTTGATCAAATGATGAAACCATATTGAATTGAATAATATCTGTTAGGGCTGAGCAAGGAATCTGTGAAATCCGTAATCTGATCCAGTCCAGTCAAATCCAGTAGGTTTGGATTATTTTTTGAATCCGTGGTTCGATTTCGGATTAAAGAATTAAAAATCCGTAGTCTACGGATTGGTTCCGGATTGAACTCCACGATTCCGGATTGGAATCGATTCGGACCGTATACAAATAGACTATATTTTTATTATACATCCTCTCGCATTGTATCTTTTCTTGTTCCATATAAAACCTAAACCTAAACTCAAACCTAAACCCGTATAATATCTTCTTTTATTACTTTTGTTTGTTAGTTTTTAGTTTTAATTTGTAATGGTCTAAATATTTATGATGAAACCAGTTTTCTTATGGTTGTTTAAATTTTAGAACAGTATGTCGCTATTATAGAAAGACATGTAGCTATTGTGGAACTAATATAGCACTATGTTTATATTTTTATGAAATTAAAGTGTTATATATATTTTTTTGTTATTTAATTATGCGAATCTGTGGTCCTAAACCGATCCAATCCGTGTTTAAATGGATTGGTTCGGATTGGTTCCATGATTTAAACGGATTGGATTGGTTTTAATTCTTCAAGAACCGTAGATAACAGATTGGTCCTTATTTTATCACAATCCAATCCAATCTAGACCATACTCACTCCTAATATCTGTATATATATATATATAGAGAGAGAGAGAGAGAGAGAGAGAATAACATAATTTCAACAGATAAAATTTATAGAATTTCAATAAATAGGAAACAAATTCAACAAATAGAGATAGAGAGAGAGAAAAGAAAGGTGTAAAAATTCAACTGATCAGGTGGTAAATTTCAACAAATAGTAAAATTTTTGTTCAATGGTTATGATTTTGTTTAGCTTTATATTTTAATAGATAGAAAAAAAATAAAACTGAACAGATAGAATTTAGGCAGATCGAATTCAAAGGAAAAAATTGAATAAATAATAAAATTTGGACAGATAAGAGAGAAAAATTTGAACAGATAGTCCAAAATTTTGAACAGATAGATAAATATTTGAACAGATAGACAAAAAAATTGAACAGATAGATATAAATTTGAACAGATAGTTAACAGAAAAGTCAACAGATAAATTAAAATGTAAAATTGAAAACAAAATATTCTCCTAAAATAAAAAAAAATTTCTCATCAAACTATTTCACAAATGATAGACCTTTTACTAATAAAAAATATTCACTAAATCTAATACATTATACTCTCGTTAATTTAGACTTTTCAAAAATTTACGTAGAAAAAATACTAAAAAAAAATTATAACATTTTTAATTGAATGTTAAATTAGGCCTTAATGTGTATACACAAGTAAAAACGAGAAAATTTTATGTATTAAAATATTCATTCATTTAAATAATAAAATGTAAAAAAGAGTGTGTGGGACCCTTTTCTCCCACGTCACTTTCAATTCAAAATTTAACCAATCAATTTATTTTCCATCAAATTTTACAAATTTTAGTAAGAAATAAAAAGAAACTATTTTAAAAAAATAGAATTAGTTTGACAAAAACAAATATAAAAAATATTTTAAAATTATTTTTGTCCCCAAAAATAATAAAACTACTTAAGAATGACAAGTATTTTTGATTTTTTCATTTTCTTAAGAAACTAATTTTTAGGTTTAAATAAAATTTAAAATAAATTTCTGAAAATCACATCAAACATCTATTTCTCATAATTTTTCATTTTCATATTTAAATCACTCAACCTAGTGTTAATACCCTTACTGTCAGATGGTTGCTGCTGTGCCTTAGTTACTGTTGCGTCCTTTGGATAGGTTTTTCTGAGTATTTTTTTGATAATCTGAACCGTTTATATTGTAGGATTCGTCAAATAGATCATCCGTATAAAAAATTAAATTGATTGGATATCTATAACCATATAGCCAAAGCATATTTGGTTCTATAAAAATTAATGATTAACATAACTTTCATAAATTTTTAAAAACAATTGAGATCTAATCATGGGGTTATGAATATTCGATTAATTTGATTTTTTATAGGAATAATATTCTTGACGAATCTTACAATATCACGATTCAGATTATCGAAAAACACTCAAAAAGACCTCCCAAAAGGAGGTAACAATAACTACTATGCCTTAAGTCACAGCATCACCCCTATCCATTGTTTGACCCTCCAAAGCAGCTCCACTAAAGTGTTTCTGTTTTCACTTCTGTTCTTACTGAAAAGTTATTTTGTGCCCCTGGGCACGGCCATATGTTACCTATACGTGTTGTGATTGATGAATGATATAAAACTCACGATTTTATGTTAAATACTTAAAAAATAACAAGAAACATAATGTATTGTAATTGATTATAAATATTTCACATGATGCCTCAGGAATATTAAATAATTTTTTTTTGTTCTCACTTGGGTTTGTTTCTATGCCTTCACTATCACAATCATCAACTCATTTTTGTTACATCTTCCGTCTCAAACTATCAGTCTTTTATTTAATTTTTTATTATTTCAAAATATTAGTCTATTTTTAAAAATTAAAGATTAAAATAATATGAATTTCATATTTTACTTTTCTTATAAATTTATTAACAATACAAAAGGTACAATCATGACAATTCGTTTGAAAACATGCTATTTTAGTAACTTTTTGAATTTTTACGAAAAGATGTGCAGAAAAATAGAGAGAGTGATGTAACAACTTATAATAATTTTTTAATTTTTTAGCTAAAATAATTACTCCCCAAACGAGGCTGATATTTTGAAAAAAATATATTATCAAAGAGTAATTTTGAAAAATTAATATTTTAAAAATGTAATAATTGTATTATAAAAAATAATTAAATTCCCTAAAAGAAATTATTATTTTAAGACGAAGGGAGTATATAGATAGTATTGATTAGGGTTGAGCATAGAGTTATTCGAACCGTACACCCTGCACAACCTGAATCGATCAGTATACAAATGGGTGGTTTTGCAGACATAATGCAAGCGGATGCAGTTTGGAATGTGATATTATTGCGGGTTTTACCAGCATCCACAAGAACCTGCCTGCACTTTAGTCTTTTATTTATTTAGTTATTTTTATTTTATTTTTTTAATCTGAGCTGTTGATTTTATTCCTTCTATCCTAGATATTTTTGCCCAACAAAACAAAACCTAATTATGGATCTGATTCATGATGGAATCTGTGAGTTTGTAAATATTTTTATTTTATTTAATGGGTTTGAATCAGATGAAGTTTGACAATAATTTATTATTATTTTATTATATAATTTGGATTAATGTAAAAGTTAATAAAGAATTACTTTTAGGTAAGTTTAGGATTTTGAATGATTTTGCTTTAATTGTGTTATTGGGTATTGAATAATTTTGATGATTTAGTTTAAGATTTTGAAAGATGGGCTTATTTTAGTTTATAATTTTATTTAAAAATTTAAGATTTTGAATGATTTGCTAATATTGAAAATTGATTTTGTGTGTTTTTAATTGTATAAATTTTAATTCATTAATTATTAGTGTTAAGCATTTTAAAAAATGAGGAAAAAAGAACCCAAAATAATATTTAGAAAACGAAAAAAAAAGGCTCAAAAATAAAATTTTTTAAAAAAAATTTAATTCACAAATTATCTACATATTCAAAATCCTATTCGCACAAATCGTAATCCACACACCACACAATTAGGAGTTTAATTTTCTTCCAACCATGTATATATTGAAATCGCAAACTAAACCGGCCAAAACTGAACCACGAGTGATGACTAACAATATTACAAAAAGTTAATAGATAAATAATGAAACCGTATGAACGAACAAAACAACAGTACAAGAAAAGCCCCAAGAAAAGAAAAGAATAAAAAGTTTTTACAGTTTTTAGCACAATGTTTATATATTTGATTATCAAGAGTGAATTTTTGATAATCAGTCATCTTCACAAGAACCCAAAGAAAAATCTCTCAAAAAGAGTTCAGTACCTTTCAATTCTACTTCTCTCTTTACTGTTTGTGATGCATTTTCTCATCACCTACCACTGATAAACCCATCATTCGTTCTTATTATCCCCACTTTTCTCTTTTACCATCCTCTCACTGCCAGTACAGCATTTCTGGTTCTTGTTTCTGGGTTAGGGCTTTTAAGCGGAAAGTACATTTTCAACTTAGATTTAGACTCACATTTGCTCCTACAGAGAGACCCAGATAGTAAATCCAACCAAATTGGATATATAACTGGTTTTCTGAACTTGGGTTGATTTGGGTGTCTTGATATGTGATCTTGTTTTCAGAGATCTGATTGATGGCTTCTTCAATGTCTGTAGAGAGGGTATGGTAATGGGTTTTGTGAGATCTGGCATCTAAAGGCTGTTCTTGCCAATTGTGTCTCAGAGAGGTAAACATTGTAACATTGTCTCTGTCTTTTCATAAAATTTATTAGATCATTTAGAGATTGTGGTCGATGGAAAGTTCTTGTTTTATGTTGGTGAATATTTGTATGGGAAACTGAAAAGCGCTTTCATGTTGTTGGATCCCCATTATGTTCTCTGATCTTTCTGTAGAGTTCTTGAAATGCATTTTCTTTTTCATCTTTTTTTTTCCTTATTATTTCCCCAATTTTCTTCATATTTTGATGTTGTTTCTTGTTGCATCCCATTGTGCATTTATCTAGTCTGCATGTTTTTACATTTTTATCTTTAAATATATATTTTCTTCTCCAATTTGTTGTCTTTGAAAGGTAATAGTGAACTTTTGTATCCCTAGTGCCATGAATGAAAATTTATCAGATGACAAACTACATATTAGGAGGGGATATAGTGTGATGGCAAGAAAATAATTGTAATACTATTCATGCAAAAAATTTCACCTATCATTGAAAAAGAGAGAAGATTACAAAGTTGCATAACTATCTTTCTTATTTCATTTTGTAGGTATTTTGACACCGAAAGGATGACTACTGATCTGAATACAGGATTATCCAAAAGAACTGCCATTTTTGGTCTCAAAGTCTGGGAATTGATTGGGATCTTTGTTGGGTTATTTATTATAGTTATCCTCTTTGCATTATCCTTTTATCTTACTTCGCGGAAGAAATCTAGGAAAGCTCAAGACAATATTCCCATTAGCCAAATCCCAACTGTTTCCAAGGAAATTAAAGAAGTACGCGTGGAGCAAGTCCCTACGGATGAATTTGCTCCACGTGATGGGATTCTTCTCGCCATTCACGAAAAATCCAGTGATAAAGAATCGGACAAGGTTATTGTTCATCTAGGTATGGGGAAAACGAAAAATGGAGATAATAGTAGTCAGTCAGGTTCGTTTCGTAATTTGGATAAAGATGGTGGAGGGTCTCAATCAGGAGAAGTGAGCTCGGGCAACTTTGGTGCGTATAAACCTTCTTCTTCACATCCAATAACCGCCTCTTCTCCTCTAACTGGACTGCCTGAATTCTCTCATTTGGGGTGGGGTCACTGGTTTACATTGAGGGATCTCGAACTTGCAACGAACCGGTTTTCAAAGGAGAATGTTATTGGTGAGGGTGGATATGGAGTTGTTTATAGGGGATGTTTGATTAATGGGAGATGGAGTCCAGTGGCAGTCAAAAGACTTCTGAACAATCTGTATGCTTGAAAATCGCTTTGTTGATTTCACATCTTTATGTGATTTATTTCCTTTCGATATTTTCAGTTCATCTGCGGTTGAAAGTTTAAATTTTTTCCTTTTAGGGGCCAGGCAGAGAAGGAATTTAGAGTGGAAGTTGAAGCTATTGGCCATGTGCGTCATAAAAATCTGGTTCGACTTTTGGGCTATTGCATGGAAGGAACTCATAGGTACCACTCTCATTTTGAGTATGTTAGAAGTCTTGAATATTTTTCTGTTTGAATCCAAATCCAAGAAAAGTGTTAAAAAAGCAAAGTCATGAAGGAAAGAATCCTCTATGATCTTAAAATTATGTGCAGTGGCATGATAGTGCTGGTTCTAAGAGCTGGATTAATTTTATGCTCCGATTGTTTCAATGGAATACATTTGCCAACGGAATACATTTTCTATGAAATTTTTGTTCAGAAAATATTCTTCGCCGGAAACATTTTTCTATGTTTGGTTGCAAACTTGAGACCTAAGAAGCATGGACACGGACACGTGACACGACACGAGTACGACGCCAACGGAATACATTTTCTATGAAATTTTTGTTCAGAAAATATTCTTCGCCGGAAACATTTTTCTATGTTTGGTTCTTAGCTTGAGACTAATATGCTAGTGGTTGTGTCAGTAGTGAAGTGGGGTGGGTGGTGATGGTGGGGCTGTGGAGGTGGAGGTAAGGTGGTGGTTGTGGTTGTGGTTGTGGTTGTGGGGTGGCGGTGGTTGTGGTGTGGTGTGGTGTGGTGGTGGAGGTGATGATGGTGGTGGTAGCATTGGTACGACTTTAGTTTGAAAAACATTTCCACCATCAAAAGTATAAAATGTTTTCCGCCCAAATAAGCTTGTTTTCCATCGACTTTCATTTTCCATCATGTCAAATACTAAAAAAATGAGGAAAACGTTTTTCTAGAAATGTATTCCACCGAAACAAACGGAGCATTACTGAAATGTAAGATATAAGAAACAGCATTTGTCTCACATATTTAAATATTTCAGGTTGTTAGTCTACGAATACGTCAACAATGGCAACTTGGAACAATGGCTTCATGGAGCTATGCGCCAACATGGACATCTTACATGGGAGGCCAGGATGAAGGTTCTCCTTGGCACAGCTAAAGCGTAAGTTAATTGATTTGTAATCTTTTATTTCCGTCATTGTAGTTCTCAGTATATCTGTCTGATTTTTTTGCAGTCTTGGCTACTTGCATGAAGCAATTGAGCCAAAAGTGGTGCACCGAGATATTAAGTCAAGCAATATATTGATTGATAATGACTTCAATGCCAAGGTTTCTGATTTTGGCCTGGCCAAGCTACTTGGTGCCGGAAAAAGTCACATCACAACTAGGGTTATGGGAACCTTTGGGTTAGTATTTTCTTTCATATTCTCTCCAGCATATGCTAAGTTGCAATCCCAACTTGAGTCACCTTTCTTTTTTATATATTTTTTGCTTTGGTTCTTTCTTGTCTCCTTATTGGTGGAATTTGTGAATATTCTCTATAATTATGCACTATCATATTTCATGTTCTTTTTCTTTCCTAAAAAATTATGCAGATATGCGGCTCCCGAATATGCAAATAGCGGCCTTTTGAATGAAAAGAGTGATGTTTATAGCTTTGGTGTTGTGCTTCTGGAAGCCATTACAGGATGAGATCCGGTGGACTATGGTCGTGCTGCGCAAGAGGTAATCAATTATTACAATTCAATACAAGAATCTCTTAAATGTTATAAAGATGTCTCACTGCTGGGAAAATGTTTGTAGGCACTAACATAGTTTGAATTTGGTTAAAAAATTACTTTTCATCTGGCATTTGGATTTGCTGTCATTATAAATTATAATCTATTGAGAACAATCTATGTTATGATGTAATTTTGCTTTATCACCACTCTTGATGATTTATTCCTTTGTTAACATTAGTTACTAAGCCTTTTTTGTTGACAGCTATTTGGATGCTATCACTGTAAAAAAACAAAAACAAAAAAGGAAGGAGAGAGAGAGAGAGAGAACATTCATGATATTTTTGGGGCATCCATCAACATATCTGTAGTTTCAAGGCTTCCCAGACACAATTTTCCTTTTGTACTAGTTATCATTTAAAATGGATTTGTTTTACCATTTTTATAGAACCGTTAATGTGATACATACTATAGTCTCTGAAAATAGATTAGAATGTTCAAATAGTTTATGATTTATCCTAGTGTTATTAAAGGCGCGCCTAGGCGTGCTCCTAGGCCCAAGGTTTGCGCCTGGTAGTGTTCCACGCTAGGCGACTTCAATAAGGCGCGCCTAGGCGTGCGCCTAGGCCCCAGTCCCGTCCAGGCCCAAGGTTTGTGCCTTGTAGTGTTCCAGACCAGACAACTGTGATAAGGCGCTTGATTGGCCCAAAACTTAAGTCTTGAGGGCTTTTTTTTTATTGTTGCCTTAATTGGTTTTGTTTAAAATCTAACCATTGATTTAATATGGTGCAACTACAAAAGATCCCTACTCTTATTACAGATGCCAATACATTGGGCATTCAACCCCAAATCAATGATAGAAAAAAAATTAGTCCTAATTCCTAATCTGCAAAAAACACCAAATGTTTAACATTTCATTTTGTTTATGTTGAATCCTAAATTATTTACTTATATTAAATTATTTATTTTTTCCCGTACAAGGTGCGCCTCGCTTTGGTGAAGCCTGCGCTTCACCTTGTGCCTTGAGCCTAGGCCCCAGGAGACCTTGGCGCCTTGATGCGCCAAGGCTTCAAGAAAACATTGATTTATCCATTTTAATAACATTGATTTATCCTTCCATATATTTTTACTTTCAAGAGAGAGAGAGAGAGTAGAACATCCATGATATTTTTGGCACATCCATCAATATATCTGTAGTTTCAAGGCTTCCCAGACACAATTTTCCTTTCGTACTAGTTATCATTTAAAATGGATTTGTTTTACCATTTTTATAGAACCGTTAATGTGATTCATAGTGTAGTCTCTGAAATAGATTAGACTGTTCAAATGGTTTATGATTTATCCTTCCATATATTTGTACTTTCAGACGTGGGTATATCTGTTTTATAGGTAATGTTAAGAAGTTTCTATGGATATATCCATTTCTTATGCCCCATAGGTTCCATATGCTTGTAAATTTATCTAATAAATGCTCTTTGCAGATTCGCTCTACTTCATTTTTAATTGCAGTTTTCTTTTTCAATCATTTATGTGCTCCTAGGCAGGTCTTGTGTACATTGTAATCTGATGGACCCTTTTTAGAAAATGTAGTTCATGATATCTATTCGTAGTCTCGTTAAACATAAACCATATAATGCTTTGCAGGTAAATCTGGTTGATTGGCTGAAAATGATGGTTGGAAGCAGGCGCTCAGAGGAAGTGGTGGACCCAAACATTGAAACAAAGCCGTCAACAAGAGCTCTTAAACGACCCCTTCTGACAGCTTTGAGATGTGTTGACCCAGATTCAGACAAGAGACCCAAGATGAGCCAAGTTGTTCGAATGCTTGAATCAGAGGAGTATCCCATACCCAGAGAGGTCAGTTTCTAAATTATACTGGTATAGGTCTAACATTCTGTTTGACTTTATCGATTAAGAAAATAACTGCTTGTATAATTTTACTTGAATTGGTTTTTTTATATTTTAATACAGTATCTAGTTCTGTCACTCGTACATTGCGTTCGCATCACCTTCTATTGGTATGATGCTTTGCATATAAAGCTTGGTTTGCTACCCATTCGGTCATTGATAATGTATGAACATATATAAATCATCAACCACACTCTAAAAACACATTCACATTCTTCCATCTGTGTTGGTTTTCAACCATATTCTTCTAATTTTATTGTTACTATCCTCAATCTCTCCCTTTCAATAGCGTACCCTAAGAAGCACGGCCATGGATACAGACACATGACATCACATAGACACAACTTGGATACGCCGTCACGGAAATTTTCAAAAAACGTAGGACACGACATGTGAGGACAAGTGCAAAATATAATTTTATATTTTTATTTTATGTCATATATAAGAATAAATAATTATTATATGTCATATATATGAATATTTAAGTCAAGAATAATAATTTTTTTAAAGTCTAAATAAGTAGAGTAAGTTTAAATTTACATTTTTTTTTTAATTTTATCATTTTATTCGAACTTATAATGTGGTTCGTGTGTTTTCAAGTGTTGAAAAGTGTCCAACGAGTGTCTTGTTTTGTCTATGTTGGACACAACATGTTATCTTCTTAGAAGTGTCCATGAAATGTCCATTCTTCTTGGAGCGTACCAAACCAAGTAATGCTCTATTTGTTTCACTAGAACGAGGTGAAATGGTCATTCGTTAGGATCCCCTATGTAATGATGATTCCCTTACAATTATTAATATAATTCCATTTGCAATACATTTTTCATTATTTTTTTAGTTAACAAAACATGGGAATGGACATTTTGATAGAATGATCATTCCATTCTAGCCCATTCTAGTGAATCAAACACTGCCTAAGCCTTGTGTCTCACTCAAGTGGGGTTGGCTACACGAGTCATTTTTCAGCATCCCTTTCAATAATGTACCAAGATAAATTAGAAAGTCATTCTAGTTAACCTTTTGGCAACCAATCTCTTCTATTTAATTATTTTATTGAAATTGCATCTTGTTTTATGTATTCTACGCTTGTCTAGATCATCTTAAAACCTTTTAGTCAAGTATCTTCCACTGTTTCAGGCCAGCCGTTTCCTCAGTTTTGGATCAGCCATAGAAAACTTGATCTTGACATATTACCTAGGTTATACCTGATCCCCAGAAATCATAAAAAAGATCAAAATGGGATAAAGCCCAAGTACACGGGCCATACAATATATGTCCTACGATGTGCGTATTTTTTTTTTTTTTTTGTTGAGGTATCCCTGAATTTATGTTTGTTCATCAACTTCCTTGATCAAATTTAGTTTTGCCTATCATTGTCTAAGGAATCCATCTTGAACTTGATGGTTGTTTGCTTGTTCTAAACATTTCTTGACCATGTAAATTTAAATCATGCTGTGTTACTACTTGGAGCTTACTCTGTTATACCTGAGATGGACATCTGTGCAGGATCCATAAAAGGCATTGTTGCATTTGGACATCTATTTCAAATGGCTAGACATAATTTACCTGTTTTATAGTAAAAGAAAAAAGAAAAAAGAAAAATTGGTTAGTCATGGTAAACCAAGTCAAATTCCAGTCTTTCTCCTTCTGTTTTAAAGGTTAAGTTCCATTCTTTCACCTTTTGTTTTTGTGTTTTATTTTTATTTGTTCTTGGGTTAAACTCTTTTTAGAGCTACAGTAATGCTGACATAAATTGCAAGAACACAATCCTATTGTTAAGGGCTGCACAGGTGTGCTAATTAAGTGGTAGTGGATCCTGTGTTACTTAGTTCTTCAGATCTGTAGATTATTAAGCTAATACCATTTGCTATGTTTACCAAGTTCATTTTTGTGAAAATTGTTTAGAAGGGAGAACCTCACAACAGTGTCCTATGACCAAGCTGGCTTCTTTCTTAGAGCACTACCTTATTGAATGTGGATGAGAAGTTGGTTTTTGGTAGTTATCTTGATCAGGAGTTTAACATCTTTTGAAGGCTTTATGAGAGAGAGAGAGAGAGAGATTCATCTCAACTTTAACCTTTTGCATTTCTTTGGTTCAACACATTATGCACTTACTGGTCCACATTTCTTAGTTTATGGTGACATCAAATAATTATGTAGTTAAATCAAAAAAATTCATGGCAGTTTTGTCAACCTTCACAATGTGGTAGTCATTAGGCAGAACTTTCCTTTTTCTCCCGGTTCATATGTTTGGGAAAGGATTTTTTTAAGCTTTTTGAACTAAAATCCACAAAAAGACAAAATAAACTAAAATAGTCAATAAGACAAAATGTCATATCGAACTCATAATCATTTTACCTTTTTTCTCATAAACATCACATCTGACTACAAAAAAATCTAACTCTCTTCCCAAATACAAATATTTTAGCTTACTAAAATAGCTAAAAACTAAAATAGTCTCCTTTCCAAACGAGGCCAATCTTCTTGATTTCATGCCATGCAATCCGGCTTCCTCTGATCTGATCAAATAAAGCTCATGCTAAATTTTTATTTTGAATGTTTTCAAGGACTGGAGAGATTGATAGTAATTGATTTTGACGTGTATCTTAATTGTATTTACTTCAAAAATATTAGGATCGAAGGCACCGAAGAGCTCACGCAGATAACACGGAGATTGAATCCCAGAGGGAGAATTACGACACTGACAAGAGTGACAATGCAGATCCGAAGTCAGAGGGCAGAAGCAGCTACAGAACATAACAAAACCTATTCATTCTTTTAGTGGATCTGGTACCGGCAGTTCTTAGTTTTTTTCAGCCTACTGAAATATTCGGTTTTCCATGTCCAAGCTGATTCTAGCAATAAATTTGGGTGAGGAAAAATGTCTGTTGGAAAAAGGTGGAGAACTCTTTTAGCTGTTGCTGCTTCTTTGTTTTGTTTTGTTTTGTTTTGTATCTAAGTAGCTGGAGAGATGATTTATTTTTGTAAGAAAGTGATGATATTGTGTAAAACCAAAACCATTGAGGTGGGTGTGTACAGGTTATTTTAGCTATTCTAAATTTGTTTGTTGAAATGCTCTTCTTTATGAAATAATAATATAATAATAATTAAAAAAAGAACTCACTAAATCCATTTTGTTAGGTTTTATTCTTGGCAATTCCGTTTGACAAAACTCCTTTAAGTTGTATTTGTTTTCGCACCTTTTATTTCAGTAAGGCTATGAGTTTATTAGATGCGAATCCAATCTGAGTCGTGCATTTGTCAATTTCCATGGATCAAAATCGAGGTTGTAGTAGGATCAAGTTTTTCAAATTTTTCAATTTTGGTCGTCTCGCTCGAGCGGGGAAAGTGATGCTCGAGCAGGGATTGCAAGCTCACAGCATCTCTGTTTTGCCTAAAAAAGTACTGAATGGTGTGATTCGATGCTCGAGCGTGGAAACTTCTGCTCGCCTGCTCGAGCGTGAAGCTTATATGAATCACACAATTTTGAAGCCTTCGCTCGAGCGGGAATTCCCAACACAAATTCTATAAATTCGCGTGTTGGGTCAAATCTAAGATTACTTTGGATTTCTATAAGGAATTGGTTTTCTTCCAAAACTATGATTACTTTGGATTTCTATAAGGAATTGATTTTCTTCCAAAATTGGGATTACTTTAGATTTTTATAAGTAGTTGGTTTTCTTCCAAAACTTGAACAAGTCCTCTAGATCTTCTTTTTGGATTTTAAGGTTTATATCTGAGGGTATTTTGCTAGTTTTCTTTGATGTTTTCATTGAGTATTCAACTCATGGTTTAAGAAGCATATATCAAAGGTTTGTTTGTTGATTCTACACAAAAGGGAGAGTTGTTCTTCGGTGGATTCTGAAGAATTCAAGCCTGAAGTTTTGGTGGATTCTGCAGTGGCTCATCGTCAAGACAATTCCGAAGTGAAGATAGGGTTGGAAGAGACACAGAGGTTGGTTCAATTCGGGCGTGGATTCGCCAGGTAATTGAGAGTATACCTGTGTAATTCCTTTATATCTTCTTAGTGGATTGGTTTGTGGCTGTTGCTCGTGGTTTTTTTTAATCACAATTGAAAGTGTCTAATTGTGATTTTTCTACGTAAAATCGTTTTGTCTTGATTGTTTGATTGGGATTGTTATAGATTGCTTAAAATTGATACATAATCACAAATCAACATCTAGGAGATTTTTAGATTTTTCACATTTGTTTTTGTCAATATGATAAGAAGCTTTAGGTTATATTTGATTGAGAGTTTGGGAGGGAGGGCTGGATTACTGATCTGTAGAACCTACCAAACTCATGTTTGTGTGTAATAAAATGTCATGGGATTAGCAATCCCATGGGAGTATGAATCTCCTCTCATGGTGGGATTAACATTCCCATAGGAGGGTTGGGATAGCTAATCCCTTCACATAAATTGATGATTAAATTATCATTTTGCCCTTCACTTTACAAAATTAATAAAATTATATTATATATGAAGAGGGTTTTTAGGTAATTTTATAGATTTAGTTCTAACTAATTAATATCACTACATTAGTATACAAACAAAAACTTTTTATCCTATATCTCTAACCTAATATCATTACACTAATAATCTTTTCATTCAATCACATCGCATTCATAATTCTTAGGGGTGGGCGTGGGTTGGTTGCGGTTACGGAACTTTCAATCCTTTATCCGTCTGCCAGATTGGCGGATTGGAGAAAATCAATCCGCATTCGTCCGCCAATTCGGCGGATGTGGATTGAGCGGATTGGCAGATTAATGGATGGATGCGAATCAGTTTGGCGGTTTAAAATTTAATAAATTTTCAAAATAATTCAACTTGTGTACCTCCTAAAAAAAAAAAAAAAAAATATTACGGTCAATGACTTAAAAAAGTATTACAATTACTGGATCCCTTATCCAAAGAAAGAAAGTTTGAAACTTAAGAATATTACAATCACTGCATGCCTTATCCACATAAAGTATTACAATCTGTGCTTCTTAAAATATAGAAACAATTCAAATCAACAAAACCATGAACAGAGCAGTAGTAGATATTGTATGCCTTTGTATTGATACATTTATATCTGTTTTTGAAAACAAAAACTAACCAGTATATATCATCTTTTTTATTTATTATTTTTAGAGTTCAATTTAAAAACCAAAAAAATATAGATAAATAATACATTTATTTTTTTCAATTCAAAAAATATATTTAAGTTGAAAACTCTTTTTCAACAAAATATATTCAACATAATATTTAAACTTTTTTTTAATTGAAATCACAAATAGAATATCTAAACAAATTAAAAACATAAAGTCTTACAAATTACTAGGGGTACTCGCAGTTTGGCGATACGGTTGCGGCCAAAGGAACCTCAAATTCACCATTCGTTCAAAACTAGGCGGATTGGAAAAAATTAATTTGCAACTGTCTGCTCGTCATTACGCATCCGTCCAAAATGCGACAGATCAGTTCGATTCAGTCGGTTTGGACGGATCGGTATATCTGTTGCTCACCCCTAATTCTATCAACTTAAACCATTTAGTTGCCGAATGGAAAATAAAAAATTATTTTTTATCTTTGGTGATCAAAAATTTAGTCTCCAAAAACTTATTTTTAGCAACAAAAAAATATTTTTATATCTTTGGTGACCAAAAGTTTGGTCACCCAAAACTTGTTTTCAGCGACAAAAAAACATTTTAATCGCCAAAAATCTAAAATATTTGGAGGGAGACATTTCAAACTTTAAAGGGATTTATAAAATTAATTGGCAAATAAAAATATTTAGTCACTAATGATGTAATCTATATAACAAAACAACTCAGATTTTGAATCCGGATGAGACTTTTGTCCCTTTGTCAAAATTTGGACATTGATTCAATCTAAGGGCTGAAAATATCTCACTCACCCTCTTTGGACCATTTTCAACACACATTCTCTCTCTGTCCCCCCCTCCTCATCATTTTCAACACACACCCTCTCTCTCTCTCTCTCTCTCTCACACACACACACACACACACACACACACACACACACATCCTCTCTATCTCACTCACTATCGGAGCCCATTCCATGCTTCCCCGTCGGAGCCCAACCCTTGGTGGCGACCAAACCCCAAACCCCCTATTACTCTCTTTATCTTCCCTCTTCCTCACTCTCTCTCTCCACCATCCCAATCGTCATCAACAGCGACAGCCCCAAACCCCTTCAAGATTGGCGGAGATCGAATTGAGCCACTGCTGAATGAACCACTACCAAAAGAGATCAGATAGATTTAGAGATGGAAGTCGAAAAGGAAGTCCTCAATGCCGGAACCGGACCCAAGCCTGTCTCCAGTCAGAGCGTCACCGTCCATTGTACCGGCTACGGTTACCCTCTCTCTCTCTCTTTCTCTCAAGCCAATATCTGTGTGCATTTGTGTAATTTTATAGATGATTATGGATGTATACACATATATGATTATGTACAGTGTATATATATGATTCCATTATGTGTATATATATGATTATGGATCCATGGTTTTTGTACAGGAATTGTGTTGGGACTAAAATTTATTTTACTCTGTCGAATAAGCATAACAAAATACAGAAAGTTGATCCAGTGGATGCTAGGGGGAAAGACCACGAGTTTATAGTGGGATGTGGGTCCCAAAATGCAAACTAGGTGACAAAAAGGAAATAGTTAAAGGAGTAGATTTGGCAGACGTAGTTCTTCTTGTCGATTCATCGGATAGTGCAGTAGGATGTGGCCAAACATGGCCCAGATGCCAAGCCATGAAGTTAGGCATTGTAGACACCCCATTTTTGACCGTCCTCAAGACTTGGACGTCACCGTTGGAACACTTGGTGATTATCCATGTTTGTGTTCGTCTTGAGTTCCCGGAAGCCTTGGCAGCGCGCCTCGTCGCAGGACCTCTCGACTCGACTGTTTTGTGCTTGGTTTGACACCAAACACTTGTGTTTTGCCTTTGAGAGGCAGGGTAGGGCTTGTAGACCATCCCCACCCATCACCGGTCGTGGCTTGAGGCCACCGGCTGTGTTTTGTGGCCACCGGCCAAATATTTGGCCGGCCGATGGCCGGTTGGCTATCTTTTTTTGGTCAATTGCATCTTTGGCCGGCCGACTACTGTGCATCTGCTTTTGCAGATATTTTGACACAGCTATCTTGCATTTGGCTCCCCTCCATACACGTGTATGGAGGGATCTCTCTCTTTAGAAGCTTGTCTTGTAAGCTTTACAAGACAAAAGGCTCTATAAAGAGAGGTCTTCTCTCTTGTTGAAAGGGGGTTGGACAAAAAAAGGTTAGACATTTTAGACAGCCATTTTAGGGTTTGAGTTCTAGGGTTAGGGTTTCATACATATCCTATCTCTATATCTCTCTCTTATGCGTGTATAAGTGTGTTTGTGTCTTACTATTGCACACAAACACATAGTGTCACACCTTTTCTTGGTTCTTGAAGGACCAGAGGTCTGTTCTTGGAGTTTTGGGGCTGGTTTAAGCTCAAGGAAGCAGCTGGTCCACCATTTGTGAAGAAGGTTTTCAAGGGTAAGAAGTTCGTCCCTTTATTCCCCATTTTTGCATTATATTTTTGCCTACCTTGCAATTGTTTTTGTGTTTAGTTTATAACATAAAAAAGTTCTGTTTTTGGGCCCTCTAAATAGTTTGTTTAGAGTGTTTTGTGGTTTGAGGTTGTTCGACCCCTCTTAAGCCTTGTAAGGCTCCATTTTGTGCCATTTTGTGTAAGCTCTGAGACCTTGGTGTTTGGGCCTCCTCACCACTGAAATCTTGAGGGATTTCAGAGGTGAGGATGGTGCCTTGAGGTCCCAAGAAGGAGAGGGCCACCCCCCTCTCCTTGTTGTCCTTGAAAAGGACACATTTTGGCCTCTT